GCCTTAGTTTCCTCTGGCTTTCATGCTGGGTTTGCATCAGACTTTTGTTTGGAAACAGGGTTCTGTGGCCAAAAGAAGTCAGAATGAGCTGAAAGTGGCTTCTGAATAAAGCTGCGTGCTGCGATACAGCTTGTGGTGCAGCGCGTGCCTCAGCATGGGCCCCACCCATTGCATCCCCCGGACCACCAAAGGACCACCAAAATACAAAACAAGCAGCAGAGAGCAGTAACAACAAACCTGGGCTGTGCGCTAGATGTCCCGGCCATGTCTTTAGAGGGCTGAGGCCCACGGGGCCTCTTGTATTTCTTAAGGGCAAAAGGACACTTTCCCCTTGGTCCTCGGCCTGCCAACCTGCCCTGTGACACACAGCTCCTGGGTGTCCCCGCCTCTGCCAGTCCCCTGCACACCACATCTAGGACCCTGTAGCCCTGGGCGCCTCAGACTGTGGCAGTGGACTGTGCGGCTTGCCGCAGGCCCTTCACACCATCGGCCAAACCTTTGGGTCCTCTGGGTTCTCCTCTCCTCTTTCCAGGCTCTGGCCTCCCAACCCTGCCTGGCCTGGCCTGAGTTACCTAGGAACAGTGGACAGAGTACTGTTCCCCACACAGTCACACGCCCCAGGTCAGGCTGAGCTGGACAGTGCCTGCTGCTGGCTGGGCCGTGGCACACACCCTTCTCTAGGGCATGTTGCTGTTTCCACAGATTCAGGAGAGAGGGGGACCACTCAGTCCACAAAGCCCCAGGGACACATCAGGCGCAGCACGGACTGAGCTGGCCACTGCCTTGCTGGTGTCACAGTCCCAGGGACACAAAAAGAAGAAGAGCGAGGGGGCATCTGATGTAGCTGGGCCACATAAGGGAACTGGCATGTCCCATGCGGGGTCAGGAAGAGGCCCTGGGAAGGTGACATCCACTCACCTCAGCTCGTTGCTAATATTGCTGAGTTACCTCAGAGCGCGGAGAGGGGAGGCACAGCCCAGCCCATCCTGGCTCTCCTCATGGGATGGGGGACACACCCACTTCCCCAAGGTGCACCAAAGGGTTAAAGTCATTTTCATTAAAATTTAAATTTCAGCAGGCTCTCTGCTCCCTCCCCAGGTCCTTTGAACGTTTGACTGGCAACCATTTCATATTTCAATCTCGGCAGAACAAATTGAATTAGATGTTGAGACTGAGCTGGGCTCTGTTCACCAAAGCCTGCGTGCCTGGCCCCCACTAATCCTGTCCCAGCCGCTGCCTGCAACAGAGGAGTGGATCGGGCCTGCACAAAAGACAAAAAGGAACCATCCGGAAGGCGCCCGAGGGCAGGAGGACATGCAGCTGACCTCAGCTGCCGGAGATCGTTCCTGCCTCACACCAGGGTCTGGAAGCCCAGGACAGACCCTGGGGCTGCCCTGCTAGGACTGAGCTAAGGAGGCAGGCAGGGTCCAACTGGGTCTCTGTCCTCCCAACTGGGTCTCTGTCCTCCTAGCTGGGTCTGTCCTCCCACCGGGTCTCTGTCCTCCCTCCCAGGTCTCTGTCCTTCCACTCGGGTGCCCAGCACACAGAGACACTCGGCTCACAGCTGAGGAATGCACGGATGGGGCTAGCACTGGCTCTGCAGTCTCCACAGCTCTGTCCCTTCCTCTTTCTGCAGGGCAGGCACTTCTTTTCTGTGGGTGACAAGCTGCTGGTGTCCTCCCCAGGAAAGGTGCTCATGCTGGAAGCTGAGCTCGGGGTCTTGTGGGGACTGCAGCCTGTGTTCTGGGGGACGCAGGTAGCACTGTGGCTGGAGTCCACACCCGCTCTGAGGTCAGCCATGCCCCAGGGCTCTCCTGGGAACTGTGGATCAGCGCCTGCACTGAGCTGGGCTTTCAGAGGACAACTTGGCTGTGAAGAGTGGGCCCTCTTCACAGGACTTCTGCCCGTGAGGCTCAGCACTGTCCTATGCCTGTGTGGCGTTACTCATCCAGGCCTGACTTCTGGGCACAGCCCCTAACATCCCCTCAGCAACAGTGATGGGCAGGCTGGGGACTGTGTACCCAGCACTCACCACACAGATGGCTCTGCTGTGCCTCTCCTCAGATCTGTCTGTTCTTTAAAAGATCTATGGCTCAGGGATTTTTCCCAGCTTCTGCACAGGGGCCTGTGCATTCTGCCCAACTCTCAGGTACCCCAGGTGCATGGTCCGAGCAGGCTGCCCACCCTTTGCCCCACCCAGCTGTCTCCAGTGAGCAGGTGTTCCTTGCCAGGTGCCCCTGCTCCTGCTCTATCCTGCAGGGCCTCCCCTGGTTCCATTTTTTTTTTTTTTTTTTTCACGGTACTGGTGATTGAACTCAGGACCTTGCACTTGCCAGGCAAGGACTTATTCTACTGAGCTCTCTCCCCAGCCCCAATTCACTACCTTTTCTTTTTGTGTAGTACCAGGGATTGAACTCGGGACCTTGTGCTTCCCAGGCAAGTGCTTATTCTGCTGAGCTATCTTCCCGGCCCCTCCTGGTGCCCATTTCAGAGGCCAGTGGGCAACAACAGCAGGCTACTATGGCGCCCAAGGGCAGGGGTCAGGCAGGGACCTACTGGCTATCTCCTCCACTAGTCCTAAGTGGGTATGGGTGTGAGAATAAACAGGAATCAGCCCCCCAGCCCCCCCCAAGCCCCCCCACAGAGCACCCCAGGCGCGGCCTTATCTCAGTGCCCCATGTCCCTGGGTCTCTGGCACTTGTCCTGGTCCAGCCTTCTCAGCTCCTTCCTGACCTGTAAGCAGCCGACCTTGCCTCCTGCACCCGTCTCCACAACCTAGAGATGTCACGCACATAAGCCACCTTGCCCAGCCTCACTTCCAGAGCCTCCTTTACGCCCCCTGGGTGTGTGGGCCCACCGAGGCCCTGCTGCCTGCGTGATGGTGACTGTTCCTTTCTTGCTGCCCCGGCAGCCTCAAGATTCAGCCCACATGCCCCAGTGGCTGCCTGCCTCCTGAACACCTTCCCAGTGTGCCTGGCCCCTCTGCTTTGACCTCCCTCGACTGAGCTCAGTTCTGAGGAGGACGAGTGCAGCAATGAAAACATAGCCAACCGCTTCACTCACTCGCTGGAAGAGGTGAGGCCCACGGCACAGAGACCCTCAGACTCCAGACTCCCCTGCTCCAGGAGCTGGGACAGGGAGGAACCAGGCCAGGGGCGGGCACAGGCAGGCTGCAGTGGGGCTGGGTGCGGCTCTGCAGATCAACTGGCCAGGGGACAGTGCAGCGGGGCCTGGACTCAGCTCTCAAGGGGGAAACGCGGAGCTGAACGGAAAAGACGAGGGGCTGGGCCCTGAGCACTGTGTGACAGGCAGGCTCTGGTGCGGGGGTGAGGAGCATGGCTGTTCTCAGTGCGTGGAGGAGGCTGAGGCCTAGTGGTACGGAATGCCACGCCAGCCAGCACGTGCGTCCAGCCAGACTGCAAGGCTGCCTGTGAAGAATGGAGCCTACTGTGCATACAATAGGAGCGGGTGACAGGGGCCCTGGGGCTACTTGTGCGCAGCTCCACTCCCGACAGTGACCCCAGGACAGGGTGCAGAGGCTAGGCTGAGGCCTTCACTAGTCACATTTCCTTTGCTGGGGCAAGACACCTGCCACCCACAACTGCCTCTCAACACAGGAGCCTTTGGGGACATTCTAGAGGTGAACTGTAGCAGGGAGGCTGGGGACACAGACTTGGCCTCCTTGCCCCAGCCAGTCCTGGACCAGGCTTGGTGAGCAGGGTGGCTCCGCATCCCGGCTATCCTGTGGCTGTGTGTCTGTTCCCAGGCCTCCCTGAAGCTCCGAGTCTGGGATCAGATGCTGATTTGTAATCTGTACATGATGCCATGTGACCCAGGACAACTGTGTAAAGCTCTGCCCCACAGCGCTTCTGTGATGGGGTGCTGCCTGCAGCATGCATTTTAAGGATAAGGGGACCGAGGGTGCAGAAGTCACAGCCCGGCTTCCAAGGCTGTGGAGCAAGGTGGCATTGCTGTGGCCAGGCTGCGTGTTGCCGTGCTGCTGAGCAGAAGAGGATATGGGCCCTCCTGGGGGAGTGTCTGTCCTACCTGTTTGGTACCAGGCCCACAGGGGTCCTGTCCCCTGCCATGGAGTGGGGACATGTGGGCACAAACCACATGCATCTAGAGGCTCCAGCAGGAGGCGCCACCACCCAGCACTTGGACAGGGAAGGTCTCAGCCCTGTCACCCCCCTTGGAGCCCAGACAGATGGTCCCACCAGGCCAAGGCCACTGTGCCATCTGTGGGGCTCTTCACTGGAGAAGCTGGGGCCTGGCTGTGCTGGGCTCCTATCACTCGCTGCTAATTTTCAGGGGTGAGGCAGGATGGCAGGGGCTGAACATCTGGTACCACACAGCCCAGTTGGGGATCTGGGCCACTCCAAGAGCTGCACAGGACGGGAACCTTACACACACAGAAAGGCAGGGACCCCGGGTGTCCCTTGACATCACCTTTGCCACAAAGGAAGGAGGCCACACGTGCAGGTGAATGTCGAGAGTTTACTGGACCGACCCACTGTTCTCCAGCACCGCCCACATGAGGCAGGCAGCACCCACCTTGCTGGACACAGGAATGGCCAGGCCTTGGGGCTGGCATGTTCTGGATTGCATGGCTGGAGCAGCTTGTGCAGGGATTTAGCCTGGGCTGAGGGGCTATAGCCCCCCGTCCGGTCCAGGTCACCTGGCCTTGGGCTGTGCTGACCCACATGGGGTGGAGAGGGCATGCGCACAGTGCTTCCTGGCAGACTAGCGGGGACGCTGCTGGCTGGGTGCAGACCCTCCCTGTGTTCTACACCCCCCTGCGTCCCACTGTGCCCTGTTAGCCTGGTGTTGGAGACTCTCAGCGATGTCTCAGGGTAACAGAAGCAGGCTGTGGTCCCCACGGCCAGGAGGCGAGAGACGCAGGCCTAGTCCTTGGGACAGACGCAGATGGCTTCTTGGTGGCCGCCTGGGGCGAGAAAGGCAGGTGGCCAGGGCTCAGCCCTGCATGTCTGGGTTGCTGGTCTCTTTCTCATGGAGGCCTTGGGTGGAGGAGGCCCAGGAGGCTCAGTGCTAGGCCGGATTCTCTCACAGGTGTGTGGGTGGCTCCTGCAGGCAAGATGGCCAGACATCAGCTGCTGGACAGAGGTTGGGTCCCCCACGACCCTGCCGCTCCCCACCCCTAGCCCAGGCTGCAGGGCGTGAGGAGCCGGAGTGACCTTCCCTGTCCCTGAGGCCTGCAGCCGCGTACCTGGTGGTGCCAGCTCACAGCTGAAGGCTCTGCTCCTCACTGTCGCTTGCGCTGTCCTCCAGCTGCTGCAGGATCCCATCCAACACTGCAGACCACTTCTTCTTCGGGGGCTCTGGGGGAGCCCAGACCGTGTGTGGGCAGCGATGGAGCAGACCCGCAGGGGAGAGGGGTGTAGACCATCGAGGGGGCAGGAGAGGGGAGTCCAAGAACAAGGAGGGGAGAGCAGAGGGAAGAGCCTGTCAGCCTGCAGCTTACCTCCTCTGCCACCCAGCCCCCAGCCCGAGATCCCAAGATGGGGTTGGCCTCCTGCTCTGTTCCACCTCCCGCAACCCAAGGCTGAGCCCAGCAAGGCCAGTGGTTAGCAACGCAAGTAGAAGGTGGCCCTGCTTCCTCAGAGGCCAGGGGCTCTAACAGTGTAGAAAGTGGCTGGAGCTGAACACAGGCTGGGGACACAGATGGGGAGCTCCCGTGTCTAGAGGAACAAAGGACCAACGTGAACGAGTGGCTTGGAAGACAAGTGGCTACTTGACTTGGACTTTGATGAAAACAGAGTTTTCTGTTTGGGGACAGGTGAGAATGAGGCTCAGGTGCACCCCATGAAGAAAGCCAGGGGGTGTGACAGGCACAGCAGGCTCAGCGACACACATGAACGCTTCCTGGGCCCCGGGCCCTACGGGCCGAGTCCCCTCCATGGGCAGAGGCCTCTTCCTCCCCAGTGTGCCCACTGGCAGGCACTATACCTTCCTGTGCAAGTGAGGGAGGGCTGGTGGGCCTAAGCTGTCCAACCAGGAGGTGGCGGCAGGGTCAGGACTGGACTCAGCCGCCCCCCACTAAGCCCACAGATGTCTCCAGCGCCGGTGAAGGCGCAGACACCCAGGCAATGCACTGGTCCCTGGGTTCTAGGCCCCTGCACGTCCGCCAGTCCCTCCGCTGTTTAGGCCACCCACTCACAGGCTGCGGGCTGTCCCTTCCCCAGCGCCCCATGTCCTGTCCCTCTGTAGAGCTTCCAGTTCCTCCCTACCCCTCCCCTCTCCACCAAGCAGGACAACCTCACCCCTCTCAGACTGGCCGGGATCCTGGCCCTCATCCACTGCTGCCTCTGACCAGCACCTCACCTGCAACCCCAGCTGAGTGCTGTGCACCAGTACTGTTCCCTCCAAAAAAAGGACCCTCTTCTTTTTATCCTTTTTTTTGGGGGTGGGGGTTGTTATTTTGCTTTTTGAGCAGAGTCCTCCTCTGTAGCTCAGGCTGACCTGGAACTCGCAGCAATCCTCCTGCCTCAGCCTACTGAGTGCTGAGATTACAGGCGCACATACGCCCCGCTCCTCCCCTCCTCTCCCCTGGCGTGCCTATACCTTCTCTATCTTGCCAGGTGTCATCACCAACCCCTGCTCACAGCCCACAAAGGGCTCGTGCGCCTCTCCCACCACGGGCGAGGGAGCTGGCTGCGGAGCGCGGCCTGGGAAGGGCTGCCCAACACCCACCCACCAGGAGGCCTGGCAGCTGCACCCATCATTGTTAGTGATGAAAGCCTGCAGGGACGGCGGGCAGCAGTGCCTTCCCCTGAGCAGCCTGCTCATAATCGCTGGCCCAGAGGCGCACAATGGCCTCTGGAAATTGAATTCACAGGCAGGTAATAGATGCCGGGAAATAGAAGGGCAACAAAATAGGGCCTGCTGGCCGGCCCGATCCCTCACCCCTCCCAGCCCCAGACAACTGGCATCGTCCTGCCTCAGGTTAGCTGTGCTAGGCTGGTCTGAGGGTGGGCAGCAGGGCCCCTTGCCCTCCCAGCCTGAGCCCAGGCCAGCCGGCTGTGAGCTCTCTCCCCTTTTGTTGAGGTGGCTCAAGTGGTAAGTCAGATCCCAGCTGGGCCTGGGGGTATACACCGAGGCAGAGGCAGGAGGATGTGCAAGTCCCAGCCAGCCACCCCAAAATGAAAGTTAGAAAGGGCTGGGGTGCAGAGCGCCGGCCTAGCCAGGACCCAGTCACTTCTGTCTCTGGCCCTCTCTGCCTCACGAAGCAGGCTTGTCTGTGGGCCCTGCACTGTCCTGACACCTGGGACAGCCCATCACACTGTGGATGCCCAGTGTTTGCTGAGTGACTGAATGAAGGACAAGAAGGTTGAGGGGAGGAGTTCATGCTGCTGGAGACCAACAGGAGCCAGAAGGAGGCCGAGAGACTCCCTCACACGGCAGACTTGGCCATGCATGAGAGCAGCTCGGCCTCCTGGAGGATGAAGGACTGGAACTCCTCCAACTCGGGCAGAGTCAGCCTGGTGCCGGGGAGGTGCTTGCTCCAGTGGTGGGCAATCAGGTGGCTTCCTGGAGGAGGCAACGGTGTGAGTGGTCCGATGACCCAGTGGAAGCCCTCTCTCCACACTGCTTGCCCCTAGCACCCTGACACTTCCCTCAGCAGATGGCTGCTCTTTGCCTATTGAGGCTGGCTGGGTCCAGTCCTGATGCCGCCACCGCCCAGCAGCCCTCTCTCACCTTCACAGGCAGGTACAGTGCCTGCCTGTGGGCTCGCTGCAAGGAGGAGACCCTCGGTCCACAGTGGGGGCTCAGCCTGTAGGGCCCTGGGGCCCAGGAAGCGTTCATGTGTGTCGCTGAGCTACTGTGCCTTTCAGCCTCCTGGCTTTCTTCACAGGGTGCACCTGAGCCCCTGAGCTGGGCTTCCCTGCTTCCAGGCCCCATGGCCACACCCACTGTCTTGCTTGTCCTGGACGCTGGCCCTGTGCTCTGACGCCACTTGAAGGCCCCACTTTCCTCTGCATCATCCCAGCTCCAAAGAAGCTCCACAAGGAGCCCGACGCCCTGCTGGCAGCCCGTGGGCCGGGGCACCGGGTTGCAAGTGCTGCCCTGCACCGGGCCTGTGGTACGTCTGTGACAGGCGGGGGCCTGCATGCATCGCTTTAAAACACGGGCTTTGCCTAGGCGGTGTGAGTGCCAGGCCCATGCAGGGAGAGCTGCCACAGCCGCCTTCACCGCACCGGCAGGCCCCACGTGCACTGCAGGCCCTCCAGCGACCCTGCTTCCTGCGCAGGGTGCCGGGCATCCACATAGCCCCGGCACCTCCCACCCCAGAGCCTCGCGGAGAGTAGCCTGTCCACATTCAGTGTGGGCTTTACCTCTCTGTGCCTCAGTTTCCTTATTCAGCTCCTGGCCACCCCACATAGATTATGAGTTCTTGGGCCAGTGTGGCATGAGCTGACCCTGGCTCGAATCCACAGCAGGCTCGGGATGGGCTCCCCATCGCAGACGCGGCATCCCGCGCCTGGAACAGCTGCTGAAGTCCCGCGTCCCCGACATCAAAAGCCTCAGTGGGTTTCACCAAACAAACATAATGCAGAACCAGGGAAAGGTGTAAAATAAATAAACGAAACAAGCTGTGCATTTTCTTTCAGTATTACAGCTGCACCCGAAGATAAACAACAAATGAATGTCACCAAACATCAATACCCGAGAAATTAACTTGACAAAAGCTCAGCCGTCCCCCAACAACCCCCTCGTCCTGCCCCTGGCCCCCCCAACCTCCAACCACCGATTCTGCATTTCTGGAGTTCCCACCTAATGATTTTATTTTTCAATTAATTCCTTGACAGAATGCCAGCCCGCATCGCGCCCCTCCCCGGCTGGCGCTGTCGCCCGGCGCTGTCGCCCAGCGCTGTGTGAAGCGCTGGGCGGGTGGAGGGGAAGGCGGTGGGGCTGTGGCTGTGAGGACCAGAGGCAGCGCTTGCTCAGGGTTTGGCTTCTGAGGCAGTGACGAGGAAGGCAGGCTGGGGTCAGAGAGCGCTGACGGAGCAGGCAGTTCTAAAGGTCCTGAGAGGAGGTGACCAGCTGGACAGCCAGGCGAGGGAACAGTGCCGGGCCGGGGCTGCACAGCCAGGTTTGACTGCAACACCTGCGCAGAGACCCTAGGCAAGTCGTTTCGCCTCAGGGCTGCATCTCTGCAGTTACTGAAAGACAACACTGTTTACAACGCCTACTGCCTAAGGCGTTTAAGAGTAACAGTGCACGCCTGTAACCCCAGCCATTCACTACTCAGGAGGCTGAGGCAGGATGAATGCAAGTTCAAAGCCAGCCTGGGCTGCATCACAAGATCTTATCTCCAAAAAAAAAAGAAGGCAAATATATGTCAGGCTGCAAGCCTGTGCCTGGCACACAGTGCATACTCAGCACAGAGTGGCCACTGCTCTCCTCTCTAAGTCAGGGACAGTGACACCAGCCCTGGGACCAAGGGTAACCACATGGGAGGACACAGGACCTCCATGGCCACCTAAGGGCATCACACGATTTGCTGTGGAAAGAGAAATCAGCTTTGGCACCCACGCACAGGCCCACTGCCCTGGACCCTCTGCCTGGCTCTGGCCGTGCACACCTGCCACACGGGCCTGCCTCTCCCTGCCGCCTGTGTCCTTGCTGTCCCTGGAGATGGGAGCTAGAGCTGCTCGGTGTTGCCCACCTGTCGCGTGCCCAAGTGTGCCGTCCTGAGATGGGGCAGCAGGGCCTGGTATTAGCAGAATGGCCCTTGGGTTTCCTCTGCCAAAAGAGCGCCGTGGTGGCTCCAACAGGCGGCCACCAAACCCTGGGGTCACCTGCAACCTGCAACTCCTACCTCGGGGATCCGGGTACTGGTGACGCATGGCGTGAGGCCTGTGGCGGGGGGCATGGGTGCCCTGCCTGGCCGTCTCCCCACCCTGCCTGGCCGTCTCCCCACCCTGCCTGGCCGTCTCCCCACCCTGCCTGGCCATCTCCCCACCCTGCCTGGCCGTCTCCCCACCCTGCCTGGCCGTCTCCCCACCCTGCCTGGCCGTCTCCCCACCCTGCCTGGCCGTCTCCCCACCCTGGCTGGCCATCTCTCTGACCCTGCCTGGCCTCCCAGGCCCCCCGGCTGTGCCCCTGTGCAGAGCCTTCAGGCCCCTGACAGGCCTGCCCCAGTGTGGCGTATGGCAGGTGTACACTAGATGCTTAGGCACCCAGGCCACAGCCTGTCCTTCCTGGAGCCAGCAGGTGGGCCCTGACCTGCCCCTGCCACCTCCAGGACTACCAGGAGGGGCTTCACTCCAGACTCCCAGCTCTGATCTGTTGACCAGGACCATGGCAGCAGGGCTGG